AAAAAAAAAAAAAAAAGATAAATAACTTAGATCAATGATTCGACAGAATGTTTGTGACTAAATTCTGTGGAAAGGGGTGGCGCCTATGGCTCAGTGGGTAGGGTGCCAGCCCCATATACCAAGCGAAGGTGACAGGTTCAAACCCAGCCCTGGCCAAACTGCAACAAAAAAATAGCTGGGCACCTATAGTTCCAGCTACTCGAGAGGCTGAGGCAAGAGAATCATCTAAGCCCAGGAGTTAGAGGTTGCTGTGAGCTGAGATGCCACGGCACTCTACTGAGGGCAACAAAGTGAGACTGTCTCTATGAAAAAAAAATGTGTGGAAAGAAGATGCTTTATCCCTTCCTTTGGGTGCAAATAAAAGAACTGTGATTTTGAGAGGGAATTCTTTTTTTTTTTTTTTGAGACAGAGCCTCAAGCTGTAACCCTGGATAGAGAGCTGTGGCATCACAGCTCACAGCAATCTCCAACTCCTGGGCTCAAGCGAGTTTCTTGCCTCTGCCTCCCAAGTAGCTGGGACTACAGGCGCCCACCACAATGCCCGGCTGTTTTTTGGTTGCAGCCATCATTGTTGTTTGGCGGGCCCAGGATGGATTCGAACCCACCAGCTCAGGTGTATATGGCTGGCGCCTTAGCCTTGAGCCATAGGCGCCGAGCCTGAGAGGGAATTCTTTTGAGTAGAGTTGCCTTCAGAATTATCCAATAGCTTTCCCCATGTCTTGCCCCACCATTTGTTAAACAAAAAAAAAAAAAAAAAAGTGACATCCTAATTTTAGTACCCTAGTGGCCAACTTTAAAAGAATGAAAACCTCTCTTTCCCCATATAACTTTTAGTGTTTAATCTCAGTCCTTCTTTAATATTTAGCAGTCCAGGCTGGGTACGGTGGCTCACATCTGTAATCCCAGCACTTGGGAGACCAAGGGGGGTGGATTGCCTTTCTTTCAAGTTGACTTCTGAGATTGTATGAGTATTCAGGTGAGGCCCTAGACTATCAGAGTCTCAGTCCTCTATTTGAGGAGTAGAGAGCAATTCTGGCATTCAGATAATATCTGCATCTTTGGAGGTTAAAGAAAATAAAATGACATCAATGGTGAATTGTTTGGCAAAGAGCCCTGTAATTCTCAAATGTGGAAGCATTTGAATGCCTGCTAGGCAAGGGGTGAGAAAAGTGTGATTTTAGATTGTTGTCTTTGCAATAGAGCTGTTTTCTCTGGCAGGGTGGAGAGGGGTTTCTCTTGGGTGTCTCTCGCTAACATTATGATTTCCCTTTATCCTCTACAGAGAGCCAGCAATTTAGAAAATAGTACTTATGACCTGTACACCATCCCCAAGGATGCTGACTCCCAGAACCCTGATGGTGAGTATTCTGTCTACCTTACTCTGCCTCCAGCTCTCCTCACCTGCAGCATCTCTTCTTAAGTTTCTCCACTTTTCATCCCAGGCCATGGCCACATCACTCATGTCTGTTGGCAGGTGCTGCTAACAATTGCATCAGAGGCGATCATGGTGTGAAATATTCATGTTCCTCCTCCATTTTATTACCCCAGCTAGATATATATATTTTATAATTTGGTTATTAGAAACTCTCCATTTTCTCTTTCAGCACAGCATGTTATCCTTGTTTATTGTCAGCTGATACGACTTTCACCCTGGTAGTTTCATTTATTTAAAATTGTGGTTCCAATCTTACAATGTCTCATCCTGGGACTAGGGATTTATACTCTCCCATCCACATCCAGATCCGATTTGCTTCTTTTTGCATGTCAAAAAGATGAGGCTGCTAACAGCCCCATGCCCCACCTGGGAATCCAGGATCCAGCTGAGACCCTTGCCTAACTCTTCCATCACTGCCATCCCTCACTGATATCCTTGCAATTAGAACTTGCTGACAAACATTCTTAGGATGGGTCTGACTATTGCTTATGGTCCTTTAATGCACTTTTCCAGGGGCTTTGTGGACATTACCAGGTCAGAGGCTTACTCTGCAAATCCCTACCATGATGAGTAACATATTTTCATGGTATTTTAGACCTCATCAACAAATTCCAGAGAACCATTTTGCTAGTTCTTTTTCTTTTGTGAAAGCCACTGGGTTGTTATTACTGAATTATAATTCATTGACTTTTTTAATGTGATCATAGAAAATCTTGGGTATTTAGTATCCATAAATCAAATTCTCCCTTATAAATTAGTAAGTTAAGCTACTAGTGACTAGCTCGAAGCAAAAGGTTGCCTGTGCCAGGCAAATCATGCCCTTGCTTCTCCCCCCCCCCATATTTGTTTACAATTAATAGAATTTAAAATATCTTTGTTTTGTTTTATTACCACTTTTATGGAGAGGTAATAATTATTCAAGGTGTAGCCCAATGATGGGCAACAGAGAAGAGGAAGAGAAAAAGCAAAAGCTTGAATTATATGGTTCCCTGGCCCCCCCTAAAAAATGGGAATATTGATTGTGATAATAATTAGTTTTATAAATTGCCTTCTACTCCAGGTGCCAGAGAAGTACAAGGCAAGGTTGTCCAGTATGTTCTGTCCATCCAGTTTTCTGCTGCTCTAATAGTTAAAAGAGTATTTTGATGCATTTTTCTGCTTATCCTTCTGTAAATTTTTCCTGAGAGTGGAGCATCCATTTCAGAATTCTAATCAGCCACTAAGCTGAGGCACATTTTGTAACTCTCGTCAGGGTGATAAGAATGGTCAGTTGACATTTACAGAGCAACAGCTTAGTGCTAAGTACTGCCCAGTACTGAGCCTGCCCTCAAGATTTAGTTAGGAGAGCTTTGCCCCACCCTGCCCTACTTGGAGATCTGCATTTTCATGTTAAAATCTGCAGAGCAGCTGCGGCTTGGGAAGGGGTTCCTATGACACTGACAGGCTGCTTCCTCTGCCACAGTTTGGCCAGGGAGGCCCTGCTCGTTAGCTTGATGGAGTGTGCTGTCTCCCAAGATGGGCGGCCCTTCTGCCAGTATGTGGTGTTAGCTGAAATGCTGCCACTTGGCCTAGAGAAAAGAGGGTTGGCAAGGGTAGAGGTTGGAATTTGGAGGGGACTGGTAGGGAAAAGTCACTTGGCAGTAGCCCCAGGTTATGGCTGAATTAGTTAGGAAGCAGCTGAACTGGCAAAGCCAAGATGGCAGCCAGCAAGACTGGCAGCTCCATGGCACCTGACTCTGTCACCTGCCAGTGGCTTACCACATGCTCCCGACTTTCGTTTTGTTCTTCTCAGCCCCTGAAGGGAAACGATCCTCAGGCCTGACAGCCGTTTGGGTTGCTCGAAATCGGTTTGCTGTCCTAGATCGGATGCATTCGGTGAGTAAAGACTATAAACAGAAACTAGGCCTGGTATGGTGGCTCATGCCTGTAATCCTAGCACTCTGAGAGGCCCAGGAGGGTGGATCACTTAACTCAGGAGTTCTAAGACCAGCCTGAGCAAGAATGAGACCCTGTCTGTACAAAAATAGAAAAATTAGCCTGGCATTTTCTGGGTGGCTGAGGTGGGAGAATCACTATAATCTAGGGGTTTGAGGTTGCTGTGAGCTATGATTCCAAGGCACTCAAGCCTGGGGCAACAGAGTAAGACTCTGTCTCAAAATTAAAAAAAAAAAACAAATACAAACAAATGAAAGCAGGAACTAATTTGGGGAGTGAGGATGAATAAAAGGCATTATTTCTTCCTTTCCTCCCCTAGGCAGCTGTAATCTTCATGTATTGGCTCTGCCTCTGTTCCCAGCCCTATGCTAACTGCCTGGGGGCAAAGGGCTTTAAAATTGATTTGATTAGGTTGACTATCAGTATGCTCTGGGCTTAGAAACCAAGCTACAATCACTCTTGACGTCAACAACCAGAGAAGCATCAAATTTGAAGTGGGTGGGCTGGAACAGGAGTAGATCTCTCTCGTTGTTCTTACTACCTTTATTAATTAGTACTTGAAATGTAACAGTTCTAACACAAGATAAGTAATGTTCTCTCAAGAAAATGTTCAGGCTCGGTGCCTATAGCTCAACCGGCTAAGGCGCCAGCCACGTACACCTAAGGTGGTGGGTTCGAATCTCCAGCCCGGACCCGCCAAACA